CAAACACTGTGTTTATTCTAATATAAAACAGCGGTCCGGCCTGAGGGAAGCGAGTGGGAGAAAAGGAGAGGATACTGTGTGTGATCCATTTAAATAGAGACTTTTTAGTTTATCCAAACAATAAAAGGACGATCACACATTGGGGATCCTCACAGGGGTAAAGTCTCAGAGTCTCCAACTGAGAGAAAAATCCTCGTTCCTAGTCAACTTTCTCACTTCACAGATGGTGAAAAAGGTAAATAATCCTCATTTTACATCACATCCAAATGTGGTTGTAACACTGTGTTTATTCTAATATAAAACAGCGGTCCGGCCTGAGGGCACGGAGTGGGAGAAAAGGAGAGGATACTGTGTTATCCGTTTAAATGGATACGTTTTGGTTTATCCAAAAAATAAAAGGACCCTCACAGGGGTAAAGTCTCAGAGTCTCCAGCTGAGAGAAAACTCCTCGTTCCTAGTCAACTTTCTCACTTCACAGATGGTGAAGGAGGTCAATAATCCTCATTTTACATCACATCCAAATTAAGTTGTTTCTACAAAGCCAAATACAACCTCAGATCTCCGTAACATAAAAACCTATCTAAAGCAAACACTGTGTTTATTCTAATATAAAACAGCGGTCCGGCCTGATGGGACGGAGTGGGAGAAAAGGAGAGGATACTGTTTGTGATCCATTTAAATGGAGACATTTTGGTTTATCCAAACAATAAAAGGACGATCACACATGGGGACCCTCACAGTCTCAGAGTCTCCAACTGAGAGAAAACTCCTCGTTCCTAATCAACTTTCTCCCTTCGCAGAAGGTGAAGAAGGTAAATAAATCCTCATTTCACATCACATCCAAATGTGGTTGTTTCTACAAAGCCAAATACAACCTCCGATCTCTGTAACATAAAGACATATCTAAAGCAAACACTGTGTTTATTCTAATATAAAACAGCAGTCCGGCCTGAAGGGACGGAGTGGGAGAAAAGGAGAGGATACTGTGTGTGATCCATTTAAATGGAGACATTTTGGTTTATCCAAACAATAAAAGGACGATCACACATGGGGGCCCTCACAGGGGTTAAGTCTCAGAGTCTCCAACTGAGAGAAAAATCCTCGTTCCAAGTCAACTTTCTCACTTCACTGATGGTGAAGAAGGTAAATAATCCTCATTTCACATCACATCCAAATGAGGTTGTTTCTACAAAGCCAAATACAACCTCAGATCTCCGTAACATAAAAACATATCTAAAGCAAACACTGTGTTTATTCTAATATAAAACAGCGGCCAAACATCAGCTTCATTCACAATATTCTACAGCCAGAAGTTGGGTGTTGCCCTGAGAAAACAGGAGAACAACAGGCTTTATAACTCTTTTCTGTTCAGACACATAAAGCGCCCGCACACCTTAGATAGACCAAACAAAGCCGGGAACAAAACCAGACTCTTCTCCAAGAGAGAAAGCTGTTTGTGTTTGGATAAAGCCAGTAAACCTCAACCTACAGGGTGAACTTCATCTTTTAAATCAGGGGTCTTCAACGTTTTCCAGACTCATGGAGCAGGGACCCCCTAATTATATATATTGTATTAAAATAGTGTTCTATCAAACTGGTCCTATAGTGTGTAAATGTACCTTGTTGTTGGGAATTCAATACTAAGATCCTCAGATAATCCACAGGTTCATATATTCCTGTTTTTATTTTAAACATCTGGTTTACAATAAACCAGATAAAGCTCTGGTTCCTGGTTGGTGGGACAGGTGTTGTGAATGAAACAGTGCCCAGCTTGAAAGAGCTCCTGTGTGATAGATAGATAGATAGATAGATAGATAGATAGATAGATAGATAGATAGATAGATAGATAGATAGATAGATAGATAGATAGATAGATAGATAGATAGATAGATAGATAGATAGAGCTCCTGTGTGTGGCTGAATGTGAGCGTTGATGACTGAAAGACATCTTCTGCCTCAATTTATCTGTTTACTACATTCTGTTGAATTCATGTTCATGTGGATTTAAAGACATTTCAATTAAAAAATAAAAAGAAATCTGATTTAAAACATAAATATTGAGGATGTGATTCAACCCAAACAACACTATTGACTTTGCATCGTATAATTACCTGAAAATGAATGGGGCACTTCACGGAATAATCTGATTTATTTAAGTTTGCTTCATCAGCCTGCAGATAACTTTAATATCGCAGTGTAAATATTTCAAATCTGAACCAGAAAAGCCTTTTAGCTTCATCTGATGAAGTAACTGAACCTGAACCGAGGTCTTCCAGTGACCATGTGTTTGAGATGACCAGCGTTCCTCTGAAAAACGACTAATATCTGAGTCTGAATCACCAGGCCTGCTGAGTCATGGTCCTGGGAAGAGGAAGGAGGGGGGGGGGCAATGACTGAGAAGATACCTCAACTAATAAATCAAAGGGTTATTACAGAAGTCCTACGGTGTTATTTTACACAGTGAATTCCAGCTGCTGAGCGTAAATCAGATCCTGTTTATGAAACAAAGCAGGAACCATAAATCAACAGTAAATTTGCATTGTTCAGCTGGGGCTCAGTACATTTTAGCCGGGAAGAATTTGCTCGGGATGCCACTACGTCTGCCTCCAAGACATTTAAAACAGACTACCAGCTATTTGACGCCAGTAACAACACCTGGATTTTCCTGAATGAGGCCCAATTCAGGTGTTTACAATTGCTGTGAAGAGCTGTTGGCCCCATTGGTTTAACCTTAATGTAGTTGTTTCTTTTTAAACTAATCCCACACCTACTAGATTTGAAAGAAACTGACACAAATAACCAGGTTTAATCCAAGGTCTCCGAGAAATTCCCTTCTAAGAAATGATGTGGATGTGCTTTTCTTTCCCTTCTCTGAGGGCTTCTGTACTCGGTCCATGACCGATGACTCAACGTATGCATTTTCCAAGTATCAACCCGCACTTTAAAGCCGATCTAAACCATAAAATCGTCCTTAAGTTCTGAGCAGATGTGTGTGGAAAACAGCCACATCTGTTGGTGGAAACGAACGTCACCATTCTGAGCTTGTGAGAAGCTCCTTTTTCCGTCAAAAGCAGTTTTTATACGATATAAAAGACTGACAGATCGAGGTGAAAAAAGGGCCCCGAGGAGTCTGCGCTTCCAGCTACGAACGCTCCAATTATGACTCTTAGCCCATTAACTGGAAACATGAGACTCTAAAACCCGGGCCGATCCATCTTTAAGGAACAACATGTGTTTTTATGGACACATATGGTTACACTGAACTTTATCGTGTATCAGGGCTAAAGTGGGCGGGGCTTTTAGAGGAACATACTAAATCAGAGATCATCAGCATGGACTTGTGGAAGGTTGTGGAGTTCAGTGTTACGCGGAGATAACGTAATAAATGGAGACTGAAGGCAGTCGTATCCCAGAACAAACATTGGATCTGTAACAAACATCCACTTTTCTGATCACAGTCAACCCAAAAAGCCTTCAGTGAGATGCAGGAGAGGAAAAATGAGCTGAGATGGGCCTTTTTCTGCTTATGTGGTCGTCAAAATGAGAGAAAAGGAGGCGAAAAAAGACAATGGAAGCCTTTAACTCTTTAGTTAACACTGATAGACTGAGTTATGAGTGGTGTGAATGAAAAGAGGTATGTGATATTTCAGAAAAGAAAATATTCTGAACCTGAGGCCGTATTTTCTACTAAACTACCAACCATTTTGGTGAAATTATTCTCTTAAATAGCAGATGAGTGGCAGTGGGTGTCACCCAGAAAAACTAAAACATGAAAAGTTAATTATATGAGCACTAACAGGCAAATATAAGTCATTCATTTAATGTGTCCATCTACAAAAGAGTCTAGAGACATTGAATTTCTCTCAGATAATAAATTAAATCCTTCCCCCTGTTTCCTGATTGCTGTTAGAGTGATGTCAGAATGACTAAAAGAAACCTGGTTTGTTAGTATGTATGTAATAAATGGATTTTTCCGTTCTGTGTGTAGCCACACTGGTTTCTCTTTTAAAACTTTTTTAAAAATTCCACAAAATTGACACACAAGTTGATGCAGAATGTGTTAATTACTTGACGGATGCGTGTTGATGTTTAATTTTACTTTGCCTGCGTCATCTTTTAACATTTTTTTTAAATTAATTACTTTTTTATGTACCGGTATATGTATTCATTTTTATTTCAAGCCTTGGACCAAAGGCAGGTGTCGGTGGGCAGATTGGTGGTTGAGTAATGCTTGGGGGTAAAAGATAATAGCTCATGGCAGCTTTGCTTTCTCATATAAAAACAGTTCTTCTCATCCCTGTAATGGATTTCCATTTATAATACTAGTAGTTTTTTTCTTTTCAGTAAACCGTGTAAGCTTATGTTCCACAATGACCAAATGACCTAAGTACCAGATTCCCAGCAGACATCCAGAGTGAATAAATCCTCTTTTTTCTTATTTCATCCGCTCAGATCTTTGAGGAATAAACTTTGACGCGTTGACTTTGGGGACAACACTTCCCTCCAAACAACAACAAAGTCAAACAGGATGCCCCCCCCCCCTACTTCCCCACACACATTTCAGCTATGAAAATTAAACTGCTGTAATCTTTTATAGGCTGCTGTTAAACTTTAAGAGGCTCAAATTGAGAAAAAGTGGAGAAAAAAACAGCTTCCAGCCGCAGCTTTTGGTCACTTTTGGCATTATAAAACACAGTAAGTGTCTGTTTTAGCC